GCTACTATTTTGAAAGCGGCTATACAATATTATTTTCCCTAATCTATACCCTTTCCTTTACCCTAAGTCCCTTACCCTATTATTTCCTCTACCACATTTAAGGAATGATCATATTTAAAGATCAAGGGAATGAAGTTCAAATTAATGGAAAACAGAATTAGCCGTGATGATGTGTTTTGTTTTGTTTTTGTTTTTTTTATACCGTTGGAGTGTTGGTGGCATACATTTGATCCCTTACTTTAGTTTTGTTGCATGTGCTTGTTGACACAATTTTTATATTATAAATGGTGTTCGTCTTATTTTAGCTTCTTTTTGTCCATATTAGTTAGGCGCGTTTATAGCGATATACTTTCCGTGGAATCCCGCAAATTTTCTTATTGGTGTAATCGATAACCGAATCGATAAGCCCCCAAAATCAATAAATCGAAATTGAAAAAATCGAAACCTTATTGAAACGATAACGATAAGCACATGTACAAATCGATAATCGATAAGTAATTATCGATAAGGGTCAAAATCGAATCGATAAATCGAATGCACACCCCTAGTCTAGTTAAGCTAGGTATTCAATGCTAGCATTTAGGACAACCTTGTTTAATCACAAAAGCAATTAAGCAAAACAGTCATGTTATCACATGAATTCAAAGGGATACCAGACATGTTAGCAACAAATTGACAGGGCGTATGAATTAAGTAACTAATCTGTAAAGTTAGGATAAATTAACTAATTACACGTTGATAGTACCCTAGAAATGCAAAGTTCAGAATAGGTGCAGGATTAGCAAATAGTGTGCATGGACAAGTTAAATATTAAGCTAGTTTTTTTTTAAAAGATTCATATAGCCAATTAACAGTGTCACTCATGGGGGGTAGATGAAATCATAGAATCAGATAAAATAGCAGAATCATACTCAGAGTTTAAACAGGCTGGTCGAACAACACATATTATGAAACATGGAGAATAAAGTGAGAAGGGAGAATGTATTACCAATTAGGCAAGAAAGCAAAGTAAATACACCACAGTAGTTGAGTCCAGAGTCACTTGGCCTTGGCTTTCAGCCGGCCAAAACCAGAAACAAACGAGCACAGAATCAGAGTAAAAAGCTAATTTTTTTAGTGAGAGTATTGAGAGTTCCAGTCTTTTCTAAAGGGGAAAAGGAGAAGGGTTTAAATAGTATTCAATTAGGCGAACAAATACGGAAAGAAATCAAACACACATAAGCAAGAAAAGAAACTAATCACAAAATCAATTGAAGTCTAGTTTTAGGACAAATAATACAGAGTTCAGTAAATTATCAGGGAATAATGGCATGTAATTAGGCGAGTAACACATAGAATAAGGAAAATATCATATGAAATCAATCAACAATCAGTTTCAAGGCAAAATAAGGTAAAGGAATAAAGAAAACATGGTAGATTGAAAAGAAATAAGGAAAATATTAGTCCCATATGAGAAAGGAAAGAGTATCGAAAAATCAGTAAAAGTTTCGAACCCTAATTTTAGGTAAACCTTCACAAAATCGGCAGAAAAATAAGGCAATGAGTCACACAATGCATATAATGAATGTAGATGGAAAATTATTCAAATAGTAAACTAGAATCGAACCAGATTTGGTTCAATCAAAGATCTGAAACCCTTATTTTAGGTAAACCATAAAATCGATAAAAAATAAAGGCAAAGAGTCATATATTTTAATAGAATGAACATATACAGGAGGTTATTCAGAAGAAACATAAAATCGAACCAGATTTGGTTCAATTAAAGAAGATCTGAAACCCTAACCTTAGGGTTAAGTTGAATCAGTGAGAGATACCGAAAGATTTGTACTTTCAAAGATAAAAAAACGATGAACACAGACGGAATAAGCAACAGGTTAAAGACTTTGAACCAGACTTGGTTCGAATCTCTTAAGATCTGCTTGCCATTTTAGGCAAGCTATTAGGTAATATCAAAATTGAGTAGCCAGTAAGGAGGAGGGGCTAATATGGTAAGGAAATCATAGATTGATTCCATTTTTACGGTTGGAATCGGAGAGATTTGAGTGACGGTGCTAGGGTTTGACAGAAAGAGGGATGAGAGACAAGAGCATATGAGGATGGCAGGTTTGGGATTATGAGGGTTAGGGTTTGGGATAGGTAAATTAAAAGGGGTGTGATGAATGTGGATCAACAGCCGAGATTGAAGGAAGGGGTTTGGGTAGGGTAAAAATGGGTATTGGGTTATGGGGTTTATTTGGTTTGGGCTGGGCGAGTTGGGCTAGTGTATTTAGGTAATTGGGCTGGGTAATTGGGTTGGTTTGGGTAGCTTAGGTCCGAAAATTCAATAAAAATTGGGGCCAGATTTTAAATACTCAATTTATTAAACAAATAATTTATAAAAATAATAAATGAATAACAAAAATATCATTTGTGCATGAAAATAATTTAATATAATTACTTAACATTATAAAAATATAAAAAGTCATTTTCTGTATAAATAATGTAATTATGCCTATATATGGGTTATTATTGCAAAAATATGCAATTTTAGCCTAAGGATGCGGAATTCAATTGTAATAAGTATATATAAAATATTTGAAGTTTAATATGGATATAAAATGATAAAATATTAAATAATAAATCACTATAAAATTATTTATGATGCAATTAATAATTATTTATATAAAAATGCAGGAATAAATTGATTAAACAACAACAACAAACCCAGTTTGATCCCAGCAGGTGGGGTCTGGGGAGGGTAGTCTGTACGCAAACCTTACCCCTACCTAATACAGGTAGAGAGGCTGTTTCCAATAGACCCTCGGCTCAAGAAGGGCAAGAAGAAGAAGAGGAAAGAAAGGAAGGAAGAAAAATGGAAGATAAAAGAAAAAGGGAGAGATAAAGGATAAGTGGTACCAAATAATAGCTGCAGGGAATACAATACCTGAGGCGAACAAAACCACATAACGTAATAAAAATCTAAGAATATGAAGGGACATGCATACTACTAAGACTATGGGTGAACAACTATAAACTACCTACTAACCTTCTACCTTAATCCTCGACCTCCACACCCTCCTATCAAGGGTCATGTCCTTAGTGAGCTGAAGCAGCGCCATATCCTGCCTAATCACCTCTCCCCAATACTTCTTAGGCCTACCTCGACCTCTTCTCAAACTCTCCATGGCCAACCTCTCACACCTCCTAACAGGAGCATCAATGCTTCGTCTCTTAACATGTCCGAACCATCTCAGCCTCGACTCCCGCATCTTTGTCCTCCATGGAGGCTACTCCCACTCTGTCCCGGATAGCTTCATTCTATATCCTATCTCTCTTGGTACACCCACACATCCATCTCAACATCCTCATCTCTGCTACTCTCATCTTCTACACGTGGGAGTTATTGATTGGCCAACACTCAGCCCCATACAGCATAGCCGGTCGAACCACCACTCGATAAAACTTACCCTTAAGTCTTAGCGGCACATTCCTATCACACAAAATACCGGAAGCGAGCCTCCACTTTATCCATCCTGCTCCAATGCGATGCGCGACATCTTCGTCAATCTCCCCGTTACCCTGGATAATCGACCCAAGATACTTAAAACTCGGTCTCTTGGGGATAACTTGAGCATCAAGCGTAACCTCTACGTCTGCATCATGGGTCCCGTCACTGAACTTGCACTCCAAGTATTCTGTCTTGGTTCTACTCAGTTTGAAACCTTTAGACTCCAAGGTCTGTCTCCAAACCTCCAACCTCGCATTAACTCCGCTACGCGTCTCGTCAATCAACACTATATCATTGACAAATAGCATGCACCAAGGCACCTCCCCTTGGATGTGACACGACACTAAATCCATCGCCAAGGCAAATAAAAATGGGCTAAGAGCCGATCCCTGGTGCAACCCCATCACCACAGGGAAATGCTCTGAGGCACCACCCACAATCGTCACCCGGGTCTTAGCATCATCATACATATCCTTAATCACACTAATGTACGCTACCGGAACACCGCTAACCTCCAAACACCTCCACAAGACCTCCCTCGGAACTTTATCATATGATTTCTCAAGGTCAATAAACACCATATGCAAATCCTTCTTCCTCTCCCTGTACTGCTCCACTAATCTCCTTACCAGATGAATCGCTTCCGTAGTGGAATGCCCCGGCATGAATCCAAACTGATTCTCGGAAATAGACATGCACCTCCTCACCCTGGCCTCCACCACCCTCTCCCAAACCTTCATAGTGTGACTCAACAACTTGATACCCCTATAATTATTGCAATTTTGGATATCACCCTTGTTCTTGTAAAGCGGAACCATCGTACTCCACCTCCATTCTTCGGGCATCTTCTTTGTCTTAAAAATAACATTAAACAACCCAATGAGCCACTCCAAACCTGCCCGCCCCGCGCTCTTCCAGAATTCCACCGGGATTTCGTCTAGCCTCGTCGCTCTGCCCCTACACATCTTACGCATCGCACCTTCCACCTCCTTTACCGTAATCTGCCTACAATACCCAAAATCCCGCCGACTCTCGGAGTGCTCCAACTTACCCAGCACAATGCGTCTATCCCCCTCCTCATTCAACAGTTTATAGAAATATGTCTGCCATCTTCTCCTAATAAGTGCCTCGTCCATCAACACTTTTCCATCCTCGTCCTTGATGCACTTGACTTGGTCTAAGTCGCGGGCTTTCCTCTTCCTCACCTTGGCCAACCGGTACAACCTCTTGTCCCCGCCTTTGCCCTCGAGCTTCTCGTACAAACGAGCAAACGATGTGTTCTTAGCCATCGTAACTGCTAACTTTGCCTCTTTCTTTGCCTTTCTGTAACACTCCCGATAAGTCCTTTTTTCCTCCTCGTTTGTACTCTCTACTTGCTTTAAATAAGCAGCTTTCTTAGCTTCCACTTTACCTTGAACCTCTCCATTCCACCACCAGTCCCCTTTATGACCCCAAGGAGAGCCTTTCGTAACCCCTAAGACCTCTCTAGCAGCTACCCTAATGCAATCCGCAGTCATGAACCACATACTAGATGCGTCCCCCTACTCATCCAGGCCCTCATAGCCAACAACTTCTTCCCTAACTCTTGAGCTTTGTCCTTGGTCAAGTTAACCCACTTGATCTTAGGTTTCCTGCACCCCGCCCTCTTCCTCCTACTCCTCTTAATCTCCAGGTCCATAACTAGGAGCCTATGTAGAGTCGTGAGATGCTCACTTGGGATGACCTTGCAGTCAATGCACAGACCTTTATCACATTTCCTGCAGAGAAGAAAATCAATTTGAGCCTTGCCCATTGAATTCCGGAAAGTGACCAAGTGCTCTTCCCTCTTCAGAAAACTCGAGTTAGCTATAACCAAATCAAAAGCTCTAGCAAAATCCAACAGCGAATTACATCCCTCATTCCTAACCCCAAAATCGTACCCGCCATGCACATCATCATAACCCCTAGCACTATCCCCAATATGGCCATTGAAATCTCCGCCAATGAACAGATTCTCTGTGTGCGGGATACTACGCACCATCTCGTCCAAATCCTCCCAAAATTTCTTCTTGACCTCCTGGTCCAACCTTACCTGAGGAGCGTAAGCACTAATCACGTTTACAGTAAACCCACCAACTACCAACCTAATACTCATCAACCTATCATCTACCCTCCTAACCTCAACCACGAGCTCCCTGAGGTCCCTGTCTACTAAAATGCCTACCCCATTCTTACCCCCAGCGCTCCCTGAGTACCAAAGTTTAAACCCGTCTACATCTCGTGCCCTAGTACCCTTCCATCTAGTCTCCTGAACACACGCTATGTTGATCTTCCTTTTCTGTAGAATCTTACCTAACTCTATATACTTCCCCGTCAACGTCCCAATGTTCCAAGACCCAATTCTCAGCCTAGAGGCTTTCTTACCCCCCTTCCCACCCCTGGACCCCACCCGAGGACATGACCTTACTCTCACATCGTCCACTACTGCCACTATAAGCAAAGGTATTAGGTAGACACTAACACTAAGAACCAATAATGGGAACGAAGGACAACAGGCTACGAACCCGAGAGCTAAAAACAACTCAAAGGAGCGACTACGAGAACAGTAACACGAGCAGGCACTAGAACAATGAATCTACCACGTCTACGAAACTACCCCTACGCAAAAACAGAATTAAAATCACTAGATGCAACCTTAAGTTTAAAACACTAGTAGAAAAGATAGAAAAAGCAATCAATCTAATCAAAACTGCCGGCAAGGCAACAGTAAATAGATGTGTGCAAATACAATTCAAGAAAGATGGAACCTGGATCACAGTTGGGGATCTCCAGACGTGCTCCCAAATCCGTTGAATACTGCTGCTCCCGAACCCGTGAGTAGGAAAGTTTCGACAATTTGTCAATTTCACCGGAATATAGGCAATTAGTCAATTTCACCGGAATTACACCGCAAGTAAAAAAATAGAGTACTCCTCTATTGGTGAAATAGTGAAAATATTAGGACTCTTGAATCTTGATGATGAATGATCCAAAAGAATAATCTCCAGATCAGGAACTTTCTCAAAAAAAATCGATTGATAGAAAATAATCCCAGCAATGCCGCAAACTCCGATGCTGGAAATTTCAAGTTGCGATAGGCACTTGGAAAAGAATAGTGAAAATGCTTACAGTTTATTAGTCAAAAGCAGTCTACAATTTCCAAAAACAATACTCCTCTGTTTCAAGATTTCCGTTTGAAAACACAGAAAGAAAAAGGAATAAAATCGTTCGAAAACACAGAAAGAATCTGAAGAGTTGCAATCTTTTGTATTTAAATTTAAAAAAATCGGCAGAGTAAAACGATCGGAAATGAAAATGGGGATTTTGAATCGCTGTTTTGCTTTAAAAGAGATGATGACCAGTACAATTTTCATTCATATTACAATTTTCATTCATAGTCAAGACTACTTTAGAACGCAAAAAAAGATAAAATCTTGAAAAAGATAAAATCTTGAAAAGGGCGGTGGACATAAAAAGGAAAGAGAGAGATGAGTAACAAATATGAAAGAACGTGGTCTTTCAGAGTTCGCCGGCGATGGCGATGGTGGTGAAACTGAGTATTCTTTCGTTTCCGACGAGAAATGGTTCAAACCTTAGGATTCTTGAATCTTGATGATGAATGATCCAAAAGAATAATCTCCAGATCAGGAACTTTCTCAAAAAAAATCCCAGCAATGCCGCAAACTCCGGTGCCAAAAATTTCAAGTTGCAATAGGCACTTCAGATTGTTCCTCAACTCTTCTCAAAATAATAGCCGAAAAAATGTATATAAATTGATTAAAAGCCTTTAAAATTATAGAAAATTATGGAAAAATACTTGGTGATGCTCATGCACTATTTTGAAGGTATATATATGTATTTGACAAATATAAGGAAAAAATTGGGTATCAACAGAATTCATCCATGATTTACTCTATGTAAAAGCTTTGAAATGTAAATTATTATATGACATGACTGCAATTGATATATTGTTAAGAAATAATATATTGTTTCTCCTTGTTCTGAGACTGTCATTATATTCATGCTATCCATGCTTAGCATAAACCTTAAATAATATTGATATTGACCTTAGTAAGTGTCAAGTCGACCCCTCGTCACTACTTTTTCGAGGTTAAACTGGATACTTGCTGGGTACATGTTGTTTATGTACTCATACTATGCTTCTATACTTAACTGTACAGGATCTGAGGTAGGTGCATCTAGTTACCCGTCCGGCGCGCGTTCCTGATTCCTGATCGAGATCTCACAGTGAGCTGCCCCTTCTGAGTCGTTCAGCAGCATACCGGAGTTCTCTTCTTTTATTGTTGTTATGTACTGTCTATTCTAATTCAGGCAGTAGGATAGTGGTATTTTTTTTGTACATTATTATTTTGGGATGTATTTATATTATTATAAACTTTTTAATTATCGACTGTTTAAAAGCTTAACTGTTAAGAAAAAAGTTGGGGTTGTTTTGGTAAAATAATGAGAACCCATTAGTTGAATTAAGGATGGCTTGCCTGACAACGGTGTCGGGCGCCATCACGACTACGATGGAATTTGGGTCGTGACAATATGGTATCAGAGCACTAGGTTCACGTAGGTCTCACAAGTCATGGGCAAACCTAATAGGATTCTTGCGGATCGGTACGGAGACATCTGTATTTATCTTCGAGGGGCTATATGGTGTTAGGAAACTACTCTTAATTCATCATCGATCGTGTAGTTGATGGTATACTAAATTTCCTTCTTCTATTCTGTCACAGATGGTGAGGACGCGCACGGCAGAGGAGGAGTTGCTCCCCCCGTTGCTAGAGGCCGAGGCAAAGGCCGGGGGAGGGCACCAGCCCGAGGTAGGGGACGAGGGCATCCTAGAGCTGCCCCAGTTGCACCACCGGTGGATCCTGTGAGGGATCCTATCATTGAGGAGTAGGGCGAGGTGCCCGTAGCTGAGCCTACCCCGGCAGACTTTATGACAGCACCGGCTTTCCAGGAGGTCATGGGCCGTATGTTGCGGTTCATGGATACCATGACTCAGGCTGGTTTATTTCTAGCAGACCCAGCCACATCTCATGCAGGAGGGGGAGCACAGACCCCTACTGCTCAGGCTCCTGGTCATGCAGTTGCAGTGTATCAGACTCCGAGTGCACCACCCACGGATGGGGCTCAGGCAGTTGCCGCAGTGGTACACGAGCCCAGACCGACTGCGGACGGTGATCCGTAGAAGTTATTAGACAGATGGACTAGGCTACATCCTCCTGTCTTCGGAGGTGAGCGTTATGAGGATGCCCAAGATTTCATTGATAGGTGTAGGGACAGGCTGCACAAGATGAGGATATTGGAGTCTCATGGGGTCGACTTCACTACATTCCAGCTGGAGGGTAGGGCTCGTAGATGATGGCAGTCTTATGTTCTTGGCAGGCCAGTGGGTTCTCCTCTTATTACTTGGAGTCAGTTCACACAGCTTTTCCTAGATAGGTATATTCCACCCTCTAAGAGGGAAGAGCTGCAGTATCAGTTTGAGCAGCTTGAGGAGGGTTAGATGTCGGTGACCGACTATGAGGCAAGGTTTTCTGAGTTGTCCTACCATGCACTGATGATACTTCCTACCGACGGAGACATGGTGCGGAGGTTTGTTGCAGGGTTGCATTCTGGTATTAGCGCCAACATGGCCCGGGAGGTGGAGATGGGGACTTCTTATCAGCTAGTAGTGGAGATCGCTCGGAGGATTGAGGGCTACCATCTGAGAGCTAGAGAGCAGATGCAGCAGGACAAGAGGGCTCGATTCTATGGAGAGTTTAAAGGTGCCTCGGCTAGAGGCAGAGGTCAGTTTGGGAGGGGTCAGCCCAGCAGGCGCCCATATTCAGCAACACCACCTCCTAGAGGTGCTCCGGCGCGCCCCTATTTTAGCGCCATACCAAAGAGTTCTTACCACCCGCCAGCTATCTAGGGTTCTTCCAGTGGGTATTCAGGTCCCCAGGGTTCTTCTGGCTCCTACTTTAGTGCTATGCCGGAGAGTTCATACCGCCTACCGGCTATTCAGTCTTCTTCCAGTGGGTCTACAGGACATCAGGGTCATACATCAAGGCAGCAAGTCACCACACCGAAGGGTTGTTTCGAGTGCGGATATCTAGGTCATATGAGGAGATACTGCCCTAAACTTCAGGGCAAGGCAGTGCAGTAGGGTCAGCAGCCTATGATTACAGCACCGGCTGTCCAGCTTCCCAGAGACGGAGGGCAGACTGGTGGGGGTTGTCCTAGAGGTGGAGGCCAGGCGGGGAGAGGTCAGCCAGCTATTGCTCAGTCGGGTGGAGGCCAACCAGCGGCGCCCCAGCCAGGCTTTATGCTTTTCCGGCCAGACCAGATGCATTGGCCTCAGATGCCGTTATCACAGGTATTATTTCCGTCAGCAGTAGGGATGCGTCAGTGCTATTTGATCCACGATCTACCTATTCATATGTATCATCTCTGTTTGCTCATTTTCTGGATATTCCTCGTGAGTCCTTCAGTACTCCTATTCATGTGTCCACTCCTGTGGGCGATTCTGTGGTTGTGGGTCGGATCTACCGGTCCTGTGTGGTCACATTCTGTGGTTTTGAGACTAGAACAGATCTCCTGTTGCTTGATATGACCGACTTTGAGGTCATCCTGGGCATGGACTGGTTATCCCCGTACCATGCCGTCCTAGATTGCCATGCCAAGACTGTTACTTTAGCAATGCCAGAGTTGCCGAGGTTGGAATGGAAGGTCTCCTCAGTTAGTACATCTAGTCGGGTTATTTCCTTTTTGAAGGCTCGGCATATGGTCGAGAAGGGTTGTTTGGCGTATCTAGCTTATATTTGGGACACCACCACAGAGTCTCTAACGATTGATTCAGTTCCAGTAGTCCGGGAGTTTGCCGATGTGTTTCCTTCTGACCTTCCTGGCATGCCACTGGATTGCGATATTAATTTCTGTATTGATTTGGCTTCAGGCACCCAGCCTATATCTATCCCACCGTACCGTATAGCTCCGATAGAGTTGAAGGAGTTGAAGGAGCAGCTTGAGGAGTTGTTATCAAAGGGGTTTATGAGACCGAGTGTGTCACCTTGGGGTGCACCAGTGTTGTTTGTGAAGAAGTAGGATGGGACTATGCGGATGTGCATTGATTACCGCTAGTTGAACAAGGCTACCATCAAGAAAAAGTACCCGTTGCCGCGCATTGATGATTTGTTCGACCAGTTGCAGGGTGCTAGGGTGTCCTCTAATATCGACTTGAGATCAGGGTATCATCAGCTGAAGATTTGGGACTCAGATGTTCCGAAGACTGCCTTCTCTACTAGATATAGCCATTATGAGTTTTTGGTGATGTCCTTTGGCTTGACTAATGCCCCAGCAGCGTTTATGGACTTGATGAACAGGGTGTTCAGGCCTTATATTGATTCCTTTGTTATCGTCTTCATTGACGACATCTTAATATACTCACGTAGCCTGGAAGAGCACGAGCAGCATTTGAGAGTAGTGCTTCAGACCTTGCGAGAGCAGAAGCTATATGCTAAGTTCTCCAAGTGTGAGTTTTGTCTAGAGTCAGTAGCATTCTTGGGGCATATTGTATCAGGAGAGGGTATTAAGGTGGATCCCAAAAAGATTGAGGCAGTTCAAAGTTGGCCACATCCTACTTCAGTGACTGAGATCAGGAGTTTCCTGGGGTTAGTAGGTTATTACCGCCAATTTGTGCAGGGCTTTTCATCCATTGCATCACCTCTGACTAGATTGACCCAGAAGGGTGCTCCTTTCCGTTGGTCCGATGATTGTGAGTCGAGCTTTCAGAACCCCAAGACAGCTTTGACTACAGCATTGGTTCTAGTGTTGCCTTCCGGTTCAGGGATGTATACGGTATATTACGACGCTTCACGCGTTGGCTTGGGATGTGTATTGATGCAGGAGGGGCGAGTTATTGTATATGCTTCACGTCAGCTGAAGATACATGAGAAGAATTACCCTGTGCACGACCTAGAGTTAGCAGCGATTGTTCATGCTCTTAAGATATGGAGGCATTATCTGTATGGGGTATCATGTGAGGTTTATACTGATCATCGCAGCTTACAGCATTTGTTCAAGCAGAGGGATCTCAATTTGAGGTAGCGTAGATGGCTTGAGTTACTGAAGGATTATGACATCACCATTCTTTATCATCCAGGCAAGGCAAATGTGGTCGCAGATGACTTAAGCAGGAAGGCAGAGAGTATGGGTAGCTTGGCATACATCTCAGCGGAGGAGAGGCTACTAGTTTTGGACGTTCAGTCCTTGGCTAACAGACTTGTGAGGTTGGACATTTCAGAGCCCAGCCGAGTCCTTGCGTGTGTTGTTGCTCAATCTTCATTATTGGGGCAGATCAAGACTCGACAGTTCGATGATCC